GAGAGAGAGAGAGAGAGAGAGAGAGAGAGAGAGAGAGAGAGAGAGAGAGGGTGTGCACTGGATGAAAGACCTGGCATTTGTATGGTGGCTTCATGGAGGTAGTTCTGGCTCCTAAGGAGGATCACAAGAAATACCAAGCCACGGACCCCCGAGGAGCTCGGTTACGGGGCTGCTGGCCAGGCTGCTAGTTCTCCATTGTGATCATGGGTCCCTTTGCTGCACAGGTCTGGCTCCCATGGTGAGCGACACGGACAAGAAGCCCTTCACAGCCATCCTATATGGCAACGGGCCTGGCTACAAGGTGGTGGATGGTGAACGGGAGAATGTCTCCATGGTAGATTATGGTAAGAATGCCACCGAGGCCATGGCTGGGAGGGGAAAGGGTCTCCATCCCTCAAGGCTGGGCCAATGTGGTCCTGGAGTAGTCCAGATTTGAGTCAGAACCTCAGTTGGGACTCTTTTCTGTCCTTTAATAACTCTGACCTTGAACACATGATTTCTCTCTTGAAAGGCTTTTGCCTTCTGGGGGGTCTTTACCCTAGAAGATGCCCTGGTCCTGATGAGCCTAGCTCGGTGCCTGGCCGGTGTAGGTACCACATGTGCTTTATTAGATGAATCCTCTCTAAGTGGCTGAGAGTGTGGTCTGGGTGAGGCAGCCTTGGTTTGAAGCTGTTTGTGTCTGGTGAAAGCCTCCTCCTGGTTGATGAGCCCCAGCTCCAACTCCTGTAAAAAAGGGCCTTCAAGCCAGTCTGGGGGTGAGAAAAGGGGGGTATTTCTCTCATAGCACTGAGGTTCAGGCAGGCACTTAAAAGATATTTCTGACCTACAGCTCACAACAACTACCAGGCCCAGTCCGCTGTCCCCCTGCGCCACGAGACCCACGGTGGGGAAGATGTGGCGGTCTTTGCCAAGGGCCCGATGGCACATCTGCTTCACGGCGTCCATGAGCAGAACTACATCCCCCACGTGATGGCGTATGCCTCCTGCATTGGGGCCAACCTTGACCACTGTGCCTGGGCCAGCTCTGCTAGCAGCCCCTCCCCAGGGGTCCTGCTGCTTCTCCTGGCTCTGTTCCCCCTGTGCACCCTGTTCTGAGGGCTCAGGTCCCATGAGCCCACAATGGACAGCCAGATCCCCTCCCTTTGTGGCCCACCACCTGGCAGCCCACGCTCAAGGGAGAGACGTAGGCAACCTCCAGCAGGAACAGAAGTTTGCTACCTGCCTCGCCTCATCCGGAATCCTCCATGGGCCAGATTCCTGGCTCTGCTTTTATTCCCTAATCTCTGCCCTTTGGCCAGCAGGGCAGGTTTCTCTCTTGGGCAGGCAGGACACAGACTGCACAGATTCCCAAAGCACCTTATTTTTCTACCAAATATATTCTCCAGACCCTGCAACCTCCATGGAACATTCCAGATCTGACCTTCTCTCCCCCATTCCTTCCCTCTGGAACACTGGGCTCCATAGTCATGGGCAGTCCCCAAGCCCAACCCTCCCTGGGGGGAAGACCAGGTCTGCTCAGGATGAGACTCCCAGGAAGCCACCTCCGGGGTTGGCTGTCTACCCAGGGTGGCCCAGGCTGGGAAGAGCAGCCCAGCCGGACAGGACGCATACACTCCCCACCCAGCTCCAGAGACTCGCCAACCCTTCACTGAAGTGGCTCTCCTGTTTGGAATAGCAAAAAAAAAAAAAAAAAAAAAGAAAGAAAAAAAAAGAAAAAAGTTTTAATTTCTCTTTTTGGTGTTGGTTAAAAGGGAACACAAGACATTTAAATAAAACGTCCCAAATATTTCTGAGGCCAGAGCTGAGTCTTTGTGGTCAGTGGGAAAGAGACCAAAATAGGGAGGAAAGAACTGGACTCAGGGTGAGGGCATGCTGGGCAGAGATGTTGGGACTCCTGCCAGACAAAGGGGGGCTTCCCCACTCACCCGCTGGATGCACAGTGCTTCAGTGCCGCTGCAGATGGCGATGGGAGACAATCCACTCGTGGGTCAGTGTGAGGATTAAAAAAGAGAGTCCTTTGTCCCTAATCCCATAGCAGGGAGGGCTTCAGTGACCTGGGGCACCTTCACAGCAAGACACTCACAAAATACACTGCATAGCCCAGTGCGGTGTAGCCGCTCGCTCCTGCCTTCATCAGCAAATGCTGAGTGTGTGCCAGGCTCTGTATAAGGCTCAGCAGTTGCCGGGCAGTCGCTGGTGAGAAGGCTTAGGTTGTTGAGGCACTGGCCAACGCACAAGCCTGACAACTCAAGTCTGATCCCCAGAACTCATGCAAGGTAGGAGGAAAAGCTCACTCCATGAGGTTGTCACCTCCTGCCACCTTCCACACTTGGCTGTGGTGCACGCTCGCGCACACACACACAATTATACTTGAGGTGAGTGGGGTGGACACATGCTTTCCCTTGCAGTGCCTCTAACAGCCTAGTAAATAACGCTGACTTCTCCTGTGATTGCTAGACAGTACGGTATAGAGTCCCCCAGATGTGTTCCTCTTCCCTCAGGTCCCCTTGCTTGTGAGAGTGAACACTGGCCCCTGCCTATAGCCAGTAACTCTGGTAGTCAGCATCCTCCTTGAGGGAGTCCTTCCCATCCCCCACTTTATGAATGAGGACACCCACGGTGTGAGAGGCCATATGATTGTCAAGATCTCCCACGTTTTCGGACAGAGACTTGAATCCAAGTTTGCTCGATGCCAACGTTCCTGCATTTAATGACATCTTTTATTTGTTTATAGTACATTTCCAAATTCCTGCCCACCCAGTCCCGGACAGTGCCTCACAATTCTCACCAATTAAACAGGAGCCAAAGCTTCACACTAGTTAAACAGGAACTAAGACTGAATATCTGGAGTGGACCGTCCTCCGGGTCTGAAAGGACAGTGAGCAGATTTTTTTCTCTGAGCTTCCTAGCAGTCAAGGCAAAAAGGGAAACACAGCTAAGCAGATGCTAGGTTGAAAACTTCAGTTGTATGCATTCTGTCCGGGACAGAGCTCCCAGACTCATCCTGAATCACATCGCCTTAAGACGGTAGCATGATCCCTTTGCAGCCTTTGCTGTCTCTCTGGATTGTTATTAAGCAGTTCCTTACATCCAAACATTTCCCCCAGTGCTGCCTCCAGTCTACCTATGTTAATAGCGAAGAACATGATTACCACCAGGTCTGTGTGTGAACCATGGCTTTGTGTCTCAGCCTGAAGTGGCCATGAGTTATTGAACTGAGAGCAAGTGGAGACAGAAGAAGAAGGAACAAGGGAGTCAGTTGTGTGACGAGGCCACCCGGCACAAGAGGTACACTTCAGAGTCACCTCCAGGATGTGGAAGAAGTGGAATGTTTATTTCCCATCTCCTCTCCCTCACTGGCTAAGGGCTGTACCACAGACAGATCACACCAAGCTTCCAGCTTGCTTCTTGAAGGGCCGAACCTCCCCCAGTACCCCCCCCCAGCAGGAATTGAAATTAGGATCCTAGAGGGGACAGAGACATCTGCTGAGTGAGCCTTGGGATGTGCTAAACAGGGGAATCGTGGCTGATCGTGGCTAAGTCAGAACCACGGGGGCCACACCTGTCTCAGTCCTGTAGACTGGGGCAAGGTCTTGCATCCCTTTGACACCCCAGCCTAGCACGCCGTGGGCACTCAAGTCCCCAGAGTGAACTTGCAGTTAGTTCTTCCTCTTCAGGATGTTGTCCAAGACATTCAAGCACTCACACTCCAGAGGGCTGGGTCCTGGCTCACACACATCGTAGGACACTGTCACCCTGGCTGCTGATCACATGGGTTATGTGTCCCAACCAAAGCCAGGGATCTAGGCGGTGGACCCACCTCTGTCCCCAGCAACCACAGGATTGTAATCGGCATCCAGTGGCTCACAAAATCTGCTTGTTCTCAGGTTTCTCAGGCAAGAAGGGCTGGCAGGTCCTCTTCATAACTCAGTGTGAACATTTCCATGTCAACAGATAGGTATCCTGGCTGAGAGACATAGACCCAGGATCTTACCACCAGCAGCCACCACCTCTAAGTGCTGAATATCCACTCCATTTCGGTAGTATCTCCGTAGTAGTACCAGCACCCCGCTTTGCAAACTGAGCATTCGTAGCTTCCACTCAGAGTTCATTGGCAGGCACTTGTCATGTGACCGTGAAAGTGCAAAGGATCCTGGGAAATGTAGTTTTGGTCGGGCAGCTGCCTTTTACCAACACATCAGATTCTTACCCTTAGCATACTGACACTGAGGACCAGGTGGCTGCAGTGGGGGCTGGGGTAGCAACCCTTGCTTCTAATCACTAGATTTCTGGGGGACAAAATTGCACCTTGTACTAGCTGAGAGAGGGGGATGGGAAGTTTGAGGAACAGCTCCACTAATGCTCAGGATGCTCGAGATGTCTCTGGAAGACTTGAGTCTCTGGCTTCTTTGGAAAGCTGGAGAGCCCAGCAGACAGAGGAGGGTCTTGTCAGCAGCTTAACCATCAGCTCTGGCACACACACACCCCCCATCCTGCTCTCAGCTCCTTCAGAAGTCATCATGGACGCCGAGCGTCTGACCCTTGCTTGTCTCATGGTTAGATACCACGTGCTTCACCAGGGTGGCCGAACAGAGAACAAACCCACTATCCTCCAGTTCCTTCCCAGCGACCACACCCCACAGTAGGGAATGAGGGGCCTGGGAGCTAGGAAAGTGACACCCAATTAGTTGGGGGGATCAAGGTGGTGGGCGAAGGGCAAGTGGGACAGAGTAGATAGCTCATGAGCTGAGACCCGACACGCGGACGGCTTGGGGCTTGGGGCCTAAGAAGGTTCAGAGGCAGCATCACGGGAAGAGGTAAGCTGGGCTGCAGGGTTTTAGGTGCCGTTCTGAGAAGCCTGCGGGTTGCCGGTGAAGACCCCAGGGAGACACAGAAGGTGCTGGGCATGGCTAAAGAGCACCATTGATGAAGCATCCTCTCAGCACCCAGTTTGGAGGAAACTTCTATGATGCTGGAGGGTGACCACACTGAGGCTGTGACAACAGACTGGCCGGGGACGTCTCAGCTGCGGGAGCGAGGTGGGACAAGCCCCAGACACAGCTCTCAGCAATCTGGCTCCTGGTTATTGAGGTGGAGTTTATGCCTGTACCTGAGTGGTGGCAGCACACCAAATGCCCCGAGAGCAAGAGCAAAAGTTAGCAAGACACCTACTGTGTGCCATATACCATACTAAGTGCCCCAGACATAGAAGGGAGCTGCTGCCTAGAAGACACGCTTTGCACAGCTGACCCACCATGCTGTGTGGTAGATGGTGTCACCTTCACTTACAAGATGGTCAAGAAGAGGTTCAAAGGGCATGATAGCCTGCTCCAGGCCCCACTGCTTGTACATGGTTGGTACTCCCTCCCTTGTTCCTAAGGTGTTAATCTATCTAAGGACGAGTGCCCCAGCCCCACAAGCCACAGGACTGTGGGTTCCTTGGGGAGAGTTGGGGGAGAGACCCAGACAGCAAAGTTTGTAATTACCCCCTGAGCTAAACTGAAGACCTCCCACTGGGATGATCCCTGGGGCGCAGGGAGAGGGGTCATGATTAAGCTCTTAGGGGAGAATTTGGGCTCCCCACTTGGCCTCCTCTGATTCCATCCTGGTGCCAGGCCCTTTCCAAGTTCCTCAAGGTCGTCCCAGTGACTGTCAGGCAGATTGGGCAGGAAAGCTGACAACGTAGAAGGGACAGAACAGACTAGGGTCACTGGCTGGACCACCTCTATCTTGCCTGTGGGATCACAGGAACAGGCTCACCACACAATAGACTTACAGCGCATCAGAGACACACACACACACTCACAAGTATTCCCAGTTCCAGTCAGCAGTTTCAACAATGTCCCCTGGGTCTTAGATACTGTCCCTTAGCACTCTATGACATGCATGGGCCCATCTTATATTTTTACCAAGCAAACTTGGAGGGCCAGGGCTATTAGTCCCATTTTACAGATGAATCAACAGGATGAGACAAGAAAACTACGGGAAATAGTGTCGGCAATGGTTAGAGCCAGGGCTCAAGGCCAAGCTTGGAGTACAGGCTTTAAAAATTTTAAAACTAATTTATTATTATTCTATGTGTGCATGTGAGCATGAATATAGGTGTGTGTGTGTGTGTGTGTGTATGTGTGCATGTGTGTGTCTGTCTGACTGTCAGTCAGTGTGTGTGTGGAGGTCAAAAGACAACTGCCAGGAGTTATGTCTCTTCCACCAAGGGTTGCAGGTAGCAGACTCAGGTCTTGGGGCAGCTGGAAGTCAGGAGTAGGCCCCACTTTACAGACAAGAAACCAATTCTGATTGTGCTGCCACGCAGCTCCTAGTCAGGGAAAACCTATCAGGGGAAGAGACTTGAACAGGGACCCAGCCAGGAAAATGGCAGCCCTGCAGAAAGCTGAAGGCTAGATCACTGGAAGCAGGGCAAAGTCAAGCAAGAAGGAACTGCTATGTCTGAGGGGTAGGGAGGTGAGATGCTGGAAGGTCAGTGCAAGTAGGAGGATGAGGGCAGGCCCTACATGGTGGCCACACAGCAGCCTTTGTGTTCTGGTAGCAGAGAGGAAGCCACCACGGGCCCAAAGAATGGAAGGCCTTGGCCTGTGCCTTTGCGTTGTGAAATTAGCTTTTGCTGGTGTTAAAGGAGTGTAGACAGTAGTGGAGGCCGCTCTGTCGCTGGCAGGCCCTTGTGCCCTCAGGGTTGGGATGACACTGGCTTGGGGTAGTGATTGGTGGCTGGGTCACAGACATGTTGGGGAGCTGAAGCTAGCAGGGCTGTGTGGCACAGGGCTGTGGGG